ATAATGATGAATGTGGCACAGAGAATAGCTGCTCAATGGCAATGAAGATACAGTCTGCAGAAGAAACACTCAAAAAGCCTAACACCATAAACGCTGAGGGAATCTGTAACCACTATACTAGAATTCTGAAGGAAACAGCACATAGAACACACATACAGCAGAAAAGATCTATAAGAAATGTGTTAAAATGAGGGGAATACTGCATTAGACAAGAACTGCAATCTCAAAAAAAAATTCCTACCCTCTCATAAAATCTGGCAATAGAAGTTCACTCATTCACTGTTTCTATGAACAAAGATTATTAAAAGCATATAATAGTGTATATATAATAGTGTATATGAACATTTTATCTTCCTCTTTCTATCTCCGATAAAACCAAAGAATTCCAGGAAACTCAGAACTTGGAGAATTCTTTGCCACTCCTGTTTATGTATTTATGTTAGGATGACTTCATCACCACTTCAACTATTTGCACTCATTGTATATTTCTAGTTACTACCTCTCTATTGTACCCAATATCCTAATGGGATATTATCAGCTGTTACTTCAATTCAGCTGTCTCATATTATTCAACAAACTACATTTTTACATAAAGCCTGTTGTTTTGTTTTGTTTTTAACATTAAACAACATTTTTAACATTAAGCAACATTTCATAATTACTATCTCAAAGACTGTCCACCTGTTTCTTCCGCCTTTCCCACATTTATTCCAAATAGCTAAATTCTGTCTCTTATCTACCCAGTGTATTGCCACAAAAGCAATATACTGATTAATACACCATCTACAAGTTAGTGTGCAAAATCAAGCCTTTACGATTCAACAAAAATCTGACACTTAAATAATCAAGGAAAAAAGAAAAAAGACAAGGTGCGTGTGATGCTAATAAGCACATGCAGTTAATACACCCTGGACGAAACAGCCAAATTAACAGCTACCAACGGAGGAATTCATCATCCTTGCAAGTGAAATGATGGAAAACATCTTAGAGGACACATCCTGTAGTTTCAGAAGCATTTCTGTTAGAGCTCATCTGTGCAGCACACCATCTAAGTATTTAGTTGCTCTCAAGTGTTACGCACGTTATACCTGTAGGACAGGAATTAATATTTTATGTATCTACGGTTAGGCTTGGACCTTGAAAAGCATATCTGATAATCTGCAGTAATAACAGTATTTGGCAGCATTTGACAGTTAGGGACAATATTATAAAAAACATTCACTCTGTAATTACATGCTTGAGATGCTTCCTGAGGAACTGATCTGGTGAGTTTCCACTTTTACTTTGATGCTGAAAAATCCCCCCCCTGTGAATCAGCATCCTCATTAATTTACATTTTCAAATTATATTTTGATCAACAATTTCTTTCCTTGATTTAGTCTTGAAATCCTCTGTGATCAGCCACACATTGTTCTTTGGCACAGTATCAGTGAGGCCCTATAAAATCTGGCCCCGGAATGCTTTTATTTCCTCACCTTGGCTGCTGTGCTTGCAGCATAGGTCTGAATAACCATCAGATTTACTAAAGCTTCTTATAACCAGACTGAAATGAAACTGACATTGCCTGGAACGTATCTAATAAGGAATGCAAATAAATCTGTGCTCAAAAAAAATGAATGCCAGGGTTTTCTCCGCTCTCTTCCCGTGCTGGCAGTCAGTATCTCCAAGGGATGGTGGAGTAGCAGACTATCATTTCACCAAACATCAAAAAAACCTTCTCATGACAATTTCTGAAAAATGGCACTCATTAACTAGAAAGCTGCACATGTCCTTTTTAATGAATTAAACTCCTTTTGTTTTCATCTCCTGAGCTTTTGTCATGAGTTTGCAATTGTCGATGCTGAATCCATCCAAATACAGTTGAATACACTTTAAGCCACATTGCTTTCAAACCCATACACATCTTTTGTTTAGGATAATGGAAATTTCAATAAAGGTGTAGGCATGTTGTTATCCAATTGGCCATAACTGCCTCAGACAGGAGAAGTATCTGCTCTTTGCTATTCATAGTTCCAAATTCAGCCAACACCATAATTTCTGATACTTTGTAATTTTTTTGCCTTGTCAAATTACAATTGCAAAGCAAAAGTGGAAGACAGACTGGCTAAGAAATCTTCATACTTATGCTGTATGTTTAGGTGCTGTACAGTGATTTATGATTTTATAGATGTAGTATGCATCTACAAAGCACACTTCTACAAAGCATCCATGCTTTTATGTATTATGCATATGTACAGTCTTCTCAGAGCAAATTATTTTCCCCTCATGCCCAGAAAGAAGTAGAGGGGACATAACATACTTTACTTTTTTGAGTGGCTGTCCAGACATATATACACATCATGGAGGACTGTGAGACTATAAGCTCAGAGTAACCTATCTGGAGTGTCTGTATCTTCACAGAGACTGTGAAATATGTTACACTCCTCAGTTCATTTCCCTCCCCAAATGAAAAACTCTGTGAAGGAGGAGTCAGTCATAATCAGATTATAAGGAGTTCAAACTCAAGAAGACTGGACATATGAGAGATCCAGATCTAACAGAACAACAAGTAGAAAAAAAAAGTTATAATATTCAAAATGAAATAAAATTTAAAAATGAAACAGTCCAAGTCATATAGTTAGGATGGCATGAACAACATGGGTATTAAACAAAGCTTAACTGATCTAGAAAAAAGTCGTTACAATGAAGTTTCTATGGCTACGACCACTGGAACAGACTGTGCTACCTAAAAGAGTATCTGCTTCAGTCTGGTTTGTTTTGCCAAATAAATCCATTCCACATGAACCACTGCTATGAGCAAGAACCTTCTGCAAAGTGTAGGAACACAGTGAGCAAGTACAAGCCTGTGAGCTGGCTATCCTGAGATTGAGATAGGCACAGAGATCACCACCAGCAAATAAGGAAAGACAGACTCATTAAACTTCAACAAGAACCTTTTGTATCACATATACCAGCATTTGGTTTTCCCTGAGTAGGATGCACAGAATTAAAGGAGGCAGAGGGAAAGAAAACGACTGTCTGTTGTCCCAAACATTTGCATTGTTGCCTAGTTTGCAAGAAAAGGATATTACATATCAGTTTATTATTATTATTATTACATATATACACTTTTTTCCTGTGTCTAAGGCACAGAGCTTCATCCTAGAATTAATCCAAGTCCTGACTGGACTAGAATTAAAGCCAACAAGTAATATCTGCATACTGATATCATTCACAGTCTGACCACAAAAAGTAGCTGAGATCATCTACCAGAATATCTGAAGTGTGAAGGAGGCAAACGTCAGCCCTTCAGTAAGTTGAGCCTGCTCTTTCATTTCCAAAGACTGACTGCTCCCTTACAGGGAAGAGGAAAACATTCAAAACTCTACCAATTAAGCATATTGTAATAGCAGTGGTTCTCACTGCTTAAACGTGACTTGGCAGATGTTCATCTTTCCTGTTTGATTCTGAAAGTATCTGTTGTAAACCTTCTTTCCTGAAGAAAGGTTATTAGTTCCCCAATTAGCAGATAAATTTCATCCTTTAAAGTATCTGGTTGTGAAAACACATCACAAAAAACGTCCTTTGGAGCAGAAACATCTCCAGCTTGAACTAATATCAAAACATACACAGTTTAAAGGAGCAGCAAATTGAGTTGCTGCTGCCATCATCAAGACACAATGGCATAAAAAGTGAACATCTGGGAGATGTAACAGCAGAAGCCTCCTCAAAAGTAATAGTGACAGGGAGAAACAGAAGGCAAGAAGATATATGAAATTTTCTTGAATACATGTAGTAAAAGTCAGGTTCAAATAGGACTAAGAAATGTAATGAAAAAATGCTGCTGAACTGAAAACCAGAAGAACAGTGATAAAACTTTCACAAGCAGTTGTAACAAAATTAAATAGTACTGGTTGCATCTTGCTTCACAAAGTTAGATGCCAACAAAACAAACAGACCAAGCTTTAGATAACCAAATCACCAAATAGTTCTATAATTTTTTAGGCCTGGTTATATGCACAATGACCAAACAAAAAAAAAAAAAAAACAACACACTGACAATCATTCTAAGAATTAAGACTAATTTGTTGGAGAGCTATCAAAAATCACTGTAAGTGAAGTGAGAGCACAGTAAGACATATATCAGTGTTTCAAGATCTTCAGTTCATAAAAAATTTCCTAAGTGACAATTGCAGCAAGGTTGATAAACTTAAAATTTGATTCTACACATTTGAATTCTCACTGAAACTATCTTAGGCATTCTAACATGATAAGAAGAGCCTCCGTAATTAATTTTCTCCACAAATTTTACCCTGTAATGTATTTTTATATTTAAAGCAAATAATAAAAATCTATTTATTTATTCCAAATTCATCAATATTTCTTGGAAAATTTATCTGTGCTTTTATTATTAACTTTATTTTTAAAAAATTACTTTTTTTTTTTTTTTTTTTTGCATTGCATTGCATTGCATTGCATTGCATTGCATTGCATCTCTTGAAATTGGATTTGCAGACTGAAAGTATTTGGGTAAAATTCTTCTTGAACTACAGAATAAAAACTAGGATAACTACATTGATTGTATCCATTTTACAGAAGTCAGGCTGTTCAGTGTTCTTGTACGCAACCGGCAAAACTCCAAGAGATTAACAGGATGATACCCTCTGCTCCTGCATTCCATCAAATAAGGTTAAGGGCAGAACTACAATCAGTTTGTAGCAACAAGCTTATCATTAATGAAGATTTCTTATCAACTCAATACACACAAATATTTTTAAAGAATAAAACACATTTTCCTACAACATTCTGATTTGGTAACCTTGTTTTCCACACAAGAGGATTCAATTTCCCCGAGTCACAACAGTCGTACCTCCTCACAACACAAAATCCCCAAATCAGTTAAATCTGAATATGAGTTGTGGGGCTTAGTTGTTATACACAGTTCTAAGCTCTCCTAAAAATGCCCTTATGTCCTGAATTATCTTACAGAAGAACTTTAAATGAACAAATCAAAAACTTACCCGAATCATCATGACTGAGCATCTGATGTTGTGAATTGTATCATAAACCTTCTTAGAAACATCCACAAATTGGTTATCATCAAACAGGTGTACTGTATTCTTGCTTAAGCTTTCCAGTGCAATATTTACTTGACTAATGAACTCCGGAATCACTATTAAAAACAAACAAGCAAACAAAATAAAAAACTTAGAACAGATAAAAACAAAATTCATTGAGGCCAACAAGGATAAAACCTCTAATTTTTCTGTCTGGTGAGCTGCCAGTCACATTAATTAAAATGCTATTTATAAAAGCATTATCATAGTAATGTGGCTGGTTGTAAGCAGGAGCACATCAGAGTGACAAAAATGCACTTGGCATGCATGTAAGCTGTCAATAGTTAATACTGAAGAGCAATAGAGCCTTAAAAAGGTGTAGATGGCAATACTCCTAAAATTTTGCCACTGATTTCAACAGCAAAATCACCCAAGGACCTCACTCAAAGTTGAAACTACTGTTCACCTATTTCACAATTTGCTTTCAGTCTGAACCGAAACATAACTACTTAAAGATCTTTAAAATAAAAAATATCAAGAGCCACTTGGACATACCACGGGAGCTGACCCTTGTTTTCTCAAATCAAACAGAAAATGTAAATTTTCAAGTTAGTTGGTACTACTTTGCTTAACACACTGGTACCACTGCATCTCCCTTCACCCTTTAAACAAAAAAAAAGCAAAGGATACCAAACCCAGAGAATACATCATACACATATCCTCAAACAAGTATAGTTCATACTCATTTGCAACAAAACTTCAAGTACTTCTTCCTATGACTTAGAGGCTAGAGAAACAGAAGAAACAAGAAGAAAAGAGATAGGTATTAACATATGCAATATTCAATAGGAATAATGTATATACCTTTAGAAAGAGAAGCTCTTTTCAGGCTCTACGTTGGTTTCAACTAAGAGTATATTATGCTTTCCATCCCTTCCTTCACAACTACAAGCAAATCCAGGGGTAAAGTTGATAATAGATGTAAGACCTCAGAAGCCTCTCTTTCAGAAGAAACAGGTATCCATTTTTAAGACAGTTGCTTATCATCGGCATCATTTGCACACACAGACAATACAAAAAGACAAAACTCAAATTCTAAAATATATAAATAACAATCTCCTCGTCACATTCTGACATTTCATTTATGCTGTCAGAGGGTTATCAAACAATTCTTATTATTTTGACATTTTTCCTGTATCTGACTTGTTAATTCCCTCAAATCCATGACTCCAGCCTTTTGGTTTTAGAGTTCTGAAGCAAAAGACTACAAAAAGAGGTTTTCTTGGACCCATGACTTATTCACAGCTCAGTGCCATCAAAAATTGTTTACATCATACATTCCTAAATGGGTTAGGCACCTCTCTGAAACATATTCTGCATTACATTGACTAGACCTGCATTAATAATGAGCATATTTCATATATTCTGGTTTATTATTCTAAGCAACCAAAAAAGAGGCAAAAAGAAAATACAGGATAAAAATGGGTTAAACTAGATTTATTTTTTCAACTCTTCAGAAAGAAAATGAAAATTTGAAAAATTGTAAGCAACCTTAAAAATTTCAAGTAGCATAAACTTGAGAAGTAACACTTTTGTGATTTTAACATTAAGTATTCTTTATGAGCGCTGCTCTGAAAGCAATGCCTCCTATATTACGTTGGCCCATGCTGTCACAGGTGGTTGCTGTCGGTACAGCAGTAGAGGTTGAACCTTCCTGACAGTATTCCCTTGCATTTTGTTGCAGTGACAGATGGCAGTAGAGGGGCAGCCTGACAGAATGGTGTCAGACATGGAAGCGTAGAAGAAGCAAAGGTGGGGAAATGAATTCCTTTATACAGAAAAAAATGGCACCCACTGACATTCACCACTTACTGAACACTTATGGAGATCAAACAATGGATATGAGCACAGCGAGGCAGTGGGTGGTGCAGTGGTGACAGTGACAGCGGTCACCAGCACTGGTTTAGGTTTTGCTACAATTTTTCTTTTTTCTCAACAAAAATTGTGGGAAAATACCTGTAATCCTGCATTTCCTAAAGCGGAAGACTTAAGAAGAAAATGATTCAAGAAATACTAGTATGGTTCATCAGCAATTGTGAACACCCCAGATTAAATTATAGACTTCATGACACCTGCACACTTCTGGAAATTGCACTTTTTTATTTTGGTAATTTTTCTCTTGTTTAAATAAACAATTATCTTGGCCTTTTCTTGTGGTTCTCTCCTCCTAGACCTCCCTGGACCTTGCCATCTCCAATAAAAAATAACTAATGAACTAATTATATTTTAATAGAAGTCATGACCAAACTCTTAATTCAGAAGCTAACACATCAGTATGCCATGATCACAAAAGGTAACCTGGAAAAGTACATATTACTAATCAATTTATTCCCATTAGCAGCACTATGTCTGCTATTTTTAGTAACAAAGTCAGGAGAACTGATTTTACAGAGAAAGGCTTCTATGAGTAGAAGAACCAGAAAAGGAAAGTCCACAGTATACCCCCTCAGTGAGTAATAAGGGCAGACTGGCAACTGCAGACAAGGAGAAGGCTGACGTACACCAGTACACCCAGGTCTTTTCCAGCAGGGCTGCTCTTAATCCTTTCATCCCCTTGTTTGTAATGGTAATTGGTAACGGGGGTCACATCAGTGGATAGGGGAAGAGTCACTAACATCATCCATCTGGACTTCAGTGAGACCTTTGACAGAGACATGGGTCTGTGGAGCCCATACAGAGAAAGGCCACCAAAATGATCCAAGGGATGGAATGCCTCCCGTATGACGACAGGCTGAGAGAGCTGGGGCTGTTCAGCCTGGAGAAGAGAATGCTCTGGAGAGACCTGAGAGGAGCCTTTCAGTATCTAAAGGAGGACTACAAGAAGGAAGGGGACAGACTCTTTAGCATGTCAGTTATGATAGGACAAGAGGAGATGGTTTCAAACTAAAAATGATGAGATTTAGATTGGATATAAGGAAGAAGTACCTTATAAGAAGGGTGGTGAAGCACTGGAACATGTTGTCCAGAGATGTGATGGTTTTCCCATCCCTGGCAACATTCAAGATCAGGCTGTACCAGGCTCTGAGCAACCTGATCTAGCAGTAAGTGTCCCTGTTCATTGCAGGGATTGGACCACATGATCTTTAATTGTCCCTTCCAACTCAAAAGATTCTATAATCCTATGAAAACATGAGCCATTCTACCAGCAGCTTCTAACATGTATTAAATGATTAAGATCACTCCATCAGCAACCAAGATGGATCAATATTGAAAAAGCAACAGTCTCTATAGTTAAATTGTATATATGCAGAGTTCATCTAAAAAGGTCTTAAAGTCAATCTGTAACACACACAGACATGAACTTTTTATAGCCCATATAAAAAAATCCACTGATCCTTGACACTAATCCTACTTTTAAAATACACTTACAATATTAAGGTTTCTATTAATAAGACCATATCTAATGATAAAAAAATACATTAGTTTTGTATAAAAAACTGTTACTACAGATCCAATTACCTAGCATCCTCCTAACATTTAATCAGATTCGTGGCTCATTGGCACCTTTCATGAAAGTACTTTTTTCCATTATGAGGAAAACTCAGGGCAATAGAATAGCAGAAGGCAGCATCTTTAAAAAACTGTTTTTTTCTCTTCAGAAAATATTCAAAAAAATTGAGTTCACTATTTCACTAACCTCCTCCAAAACATCTTCTGAACTTTAAGAATCTAATTTAAAATTTACTTACACCACTGGGGGTCTTGCTTTGATTTCAGTAGATCTGAGAATACAGCAGGGTGGATTTAGGTTTTTTATTAGACCACATATAATTGACACATTAATTTGACATGTTTTCTTAAATACAGGAATGACATGGTCCACCAACTATATATGAAATTCCACTTATGTTCTAACAGTAAAAAGTTACTATTTCAATTTCCAAAAAATATACTGTTGATTCTTCTGATTTTTGTAGGTAAAAACTGTAAGGAGATGTTGATTAAGAGAAATTAAAAAAAATAATAATCAAAACCTGATCCTTTTAATACATACATTTCCAAACTGCTAGCTTTATGTTTTTGATGCTTTCTTTTAATGTTTTAATAACAAGTATTAAAAAAAGGAAGTTTTTTTGCTTTTATACTTGAAATTTTTAGGCGCACTCCAGTACAGCTCAGGCAAGCCCGATGTTTCAATAGATAGTAATAGACTAATTCAGGGACTAATCAGTAGTCTCCTGATGTCCCAATTAAAGGGGTTATACAAAGGTTATACAAAGAAAGGAATTACAGCATACGTATAAATCCTGACCACATTAAGTGCTACAAGTCAAGCAGCAAAGACATGAGCATACTTTTCACATCTTAGGTTAATGTTCAAAAAAAGGAACATTACTAAAGTAAAAAAATTTAACAGAAACAAAATGAAAAAGTAAATCAGCAAATCAACAATTACCTTTCTAGCAAGGAAAAAAAAATTGTACAGTAGCATAATTTATGAATTTTTCTCTTTCTTCCTTTCAAATTTACTCAATGCCTGTCAGCATAGCCCGAGCTTAAGTTTGATCAGGTTCATCTAGGTTTGATTAAAACTGAGAAAGTCACAAAGCAAAGGAACTTCAACTTTACCCTCATAAGGATACTTCTCAATATGATAATCAGGTATACAGAAACTCTATGCTAATCTGAACAAGCCTCCAGGCTGATTCATTTTTATTAGTGAGAATGAAATGTACTACCAGGACTGAAAATTTTTGTTCTAAAGATGCCCTTCATCTTCAGCAAGAAGTTAAGGTGAGTATCCCTGTGGCAGAATAATCACAGAGTTGTGACAAGTGGCGTGTATCTTGAATTTTTTATTATCCTCCATAATCTGATCACCTACCATGAAAGTCACTTTGTTGTGTATAGACAATTTGCCCTCAGAAGATTTTAGTGGTTTCCCAATTGCAGGAATTCACCTAAATTCAAAGGCATAATGGACATCAGAAGTGTAAGTGAAGTGTGGCCAAAAGGGTTAGAAACAGCTACCACTTCAATGTAGGACAATACAGCTAAACAGAATGAATTTTAAAATCTAGTTACTTAACTATACAGTCTTTATTCAGTACTTCTT